GTGTGTGTGGATGTCTGTTAGTGTGTGTATGTTAGTGTGTATGTTAGTGTGTGTATGTAAGTGTGTATATGTTAGTGTGTGTGGATGTCTGTTAGTGTGTGTATGTTAGTGTGTCTGTTAGTGTGTGTATGTTAGTGTGTGTATGTTAGTGTTAGTGTGTGTGTCTGTTAGTGTGTATGTTAGTGTTAGTGTGTGTATGTTAGTGTTAGTGTGTGTGTCTGTTAGTGTTAGTGTGTGTATGTTACTGTGTATGTTAGTGTTAGTGTGTGTATATGTTAGTGTTAGTGTGTGTGTCTGTTAGTGTGTGTGTCTCTTAGTGTGTGTATGTTAGTGTTAGTGTGAGTGTGTGTGTTTGTGTGTCTGGTAGTGTGTGTGTCTGTTGGTGTGTGTGTGTCTGTTAGTGTGTGTGTTAAAGTGTGTCTGTTAGTGTGTGGGTCTGTTGGTGTGTTAATGTGAGTGTGTGTGTTTGTGTGTCTGGTAGTGTGTGTGTCTGTTGGTGTGTGTGTGTCTGTTAGTGTGTGTGTTAAAGTGTGTCTGTTAGTGTGTGGGTCTGTTTGTCTGTTAGTGTGTGTGTGTCTGTTAGTATATGTGTGTTAGTTTGTGTGTGTGTGTCTGTTAGTGTGTGTGTGTCTGTTAGTTAGTGTGTGTGTTAGTGTGTGTGTGTGTCTGTTAGTTAGTGTGTGTGTGTCTGTCTGTTAGTGAGTGTGTGTGTGTGTCAGTTAGTGATTGTGTGTTTGTGTGTGTCTGTTAGTTAGTGAGTGTGTGTTTGTGTGTGTCTGTTAGTTAGTGAGTGTGTGTCTGTTAGTGAGTGTGTGTCTGTCAGTGAGTGTGTGTCTGTCAGTGAGTGTGTGTCTGTTCGTGTGTTTGTTAATGAGTGTGTGTGTGTTTGTGTGTGTCTGTTAGTGAGTGAGTGTGTGTGTGTTAGTGAGTGTGTGTTTTTAGAAAGGGAGGGGGCACGCATGGCGTGTGGGAGGGGTGTCTGAGTGTGTTTATCTGCCTGTAACTGTTTATGTGTGTAACTGCATGTAACTGTGTGTTTCTACCTGTAACTCTGTATTTGACAGTGTATATGTATAACTGTGTGCATCTGACTGTGGGACTGTGTGCATGTGACTCTGTAGTCTGACACATCTGGCATGCACTTCTGTTGGCTGCAGACTATAAGTAGCTGTCTTCCTAGCTCCGGCCAATCAGAGCACTGCTGCAGATTACCACAGGACACTGCAAGTCCCTGAGCTTGCGAGGTAGTGCCCCATGTCTCCCAGGTCTCAAAGTCACCCAGTGTCCCCATGTCTCTCAGTGTCCCCTAGTCACCCAGTGTCCCCTAGTGTTTGTATTCCCATGTCTCTCAGTGTCCCCTAGTCACCCAGTGTCCCCTAGTGTTTGTATTCCCATGTCTCCCAGTGTCCCTTAGAGTCTGTGTCCCCATGTCTCCCAGTGTCCCGATGTCACTAGGACACTAGGGGACACTTAGAGACATGGGGACAATGTGAGACATGGGGACACTGAGATACATGGGGACACAGACACCAGGGACACATGGGGACACTGAGACATGGGGACACAGAGACATTGGGAGAGACATTGGAACACTGAGATATGTCGGGACACTGAGAGACTAGGGACACAGACACTAAGACACTGAGAGACACCAGGGACACATGGGGACACTGAGAGACATCAGGGACACTGAGACACTAGGGACACTGGCTGGGAGACATGGGCCACTGGGAGACATGGGGCCACTGTGTCCCTAGTGTCCCAGGTTCCCTATGTTTCCCAGTGTACCTATGTCTCTTAGTGAATAATCTCTGTTTATACTGAGATAGACATTTGTATTGCCGGTATTACTGCAATACTGGCACCGGCTAGGCAGCCTCAAATACCTGAGAAATACTTCTGAGAAATATCTGGCAACCACAAGAAATAAATGAGAAATACCTGTGTGTTAAAAAAAAAAAATCAATGGGCCTATTCCATGGGCCTGGGCCTGGAGCTGCAGCTCCATCAGCCCCATGTCAATCCGGCCCTGATTGCAGGTACCTACTCTGCTAAAATTTACCCGGCCAGGGAGGAAGCAGGATGCTGGCGGCAGCGAGGGAGCTCAGTCTTCCTGCTCCTCACTGCTCCCACGCGCACCGTCTGTAGTGATGCCAGGAGCCGGAATATGATGTCATATTCTGGCACCCGGCATCACTAAACTGCGCGCGAGGGAGCAGTGTGCAGCAGGAAGGAGACCCCTGAGAGAAGATCCCCACTGGACCCCAGGGAATGATGTGAGTGTGTGCAAGAATGTGTAAGTGTGTCTGTCAGTGAGTGTGTCTGTCTGCATGTTTGTCAGTGAGTGTGTCTGTCAGTGTGTGTGTGTGTGTGTGTCAGTCAGTGCTGCGATGGCTGCGGCTGGATAGTGGAGTACCCAGAGGCGCACAGAGGCACGCAACACCACATTCTGACGTCGACCTGCTCCACCTTTACAGGGTTTCACAAAGTAGCGGGCAGATCCACTTTGGCACAGAGTGATCTTTGGGGTATACCAGAGGCCGGACTCCTGAGTCGCATACTGGCAGCGGCAATGTGAGTGGAGTCTGCTTGATGGTTAGAGGGGGGTGCTGGGACTTAGTACGGGGGGGGACAAGACTGGGATTTAGTATATGGGGGGCACTGGGATTTAGTAGAGGGAGGGACTGGGGGTTTTTTATACTGTACTTTTCAAAATAAACCTATGTTTCTATGAAAATTTAAGTTGTTGTTTTATTTTGTGGCCCACATAAACTTAAACCTTGTTTATCTGGCCTGTGCTAGTCTTTGAGTTTGACATGCTTGTTTTACACTATGTTCCAGCATTAGACTTTCGTATCACATCTGGCAATTAATTACAACTGATAAGTAAACTTAACTAAACGTATGTATAGTTCTACAGTAAAGCTTAAAGTGTGACATTTATAAGTTGCTGATGAAGGTAAAAATTTTTTATTTCAAAATAGGTTTGCCATGGATTTTTTTTTGGGGGGGGGGGGAACCAGCTACGTAGAATATTTTTCTGTGATTTAATATAAAATATTGAGGCTAGCAATCCTACACCACCGTTTAAATACAGTATATACACATTTAGTGAGCACCTGGCAATTTCAGACAGTGTGGTGACAGATTCATTAAATATATACTCACTTATCATAAAGATAGAATGATACACCCTCCTTCATTCCTAATAAAATATTCAGAGTTCCATTGAGAACTTATAAGTTTTATGAGAGCAAAAAAAAACCAATAATTATTTTTGGGAGGGTTTTTTTATATATATTTTTGCTGAGAAATAACAGATACACAACGTTTCTGGAAATGTTCAGAGCTGATCCTTACCTCTGAGAGATCTGCACACAGGTGTTTTCAGGACAAAACGTGTTTCTGTTGAGATAAACCCTGAGGGAAGATTGGAAGAAAGGAGGGAGTGGGGGGAAATCTCCTCCCCTGACTGCACTCATAGACATAGAACACTGACCAGAATTCCAATCACATGGGCAGTAGTTTATCATTAACAGTGAGGAGGGCACTCTGCATGTGTCTATAAATGGTCTGTATGGGGGAGGAGGTGCATTGACTTCCATATACCAGAAAGGCATTCCAAGCAGTCAGAGCAATGAATATCATTTACTGTGGGTGTTTAAAATGTTGTAAAATACAGAAACTGTGAAAATGATCAAAATATTATTTATTGTTCATTCATCATATTTGCATTTACTAAATTTTGAATGAATGTGAATGCTTGGGTTTTTATTTTTTACAACTACTTTTTTTATTTATTTTTTGCTGTGCAGGTAAAAAAGAAATTACAAACTGGCTCCAGGTACCCCAATGGCATTCCTTGAGCTGCTTGGCTTGTATAACAAATAGGGTAGTTGCTAGGCATTGCACATTTTTTGGTAAATTAGGTGCAAGATAAAGTTACTTGCAGGCAGTATATCCAGTTTACGTTTAGCTAGGTACATGCTTAGATATGAGAGATATAGCATCACCCCTTAGACTCCTATAGCTACATATGAATGCAAGTAGTAAGGCTAGAACATTAAGACAGGTACTATTTCGACACTGCCATAGTTATTCTGAGACAGGTGAAGACTATTTAGGTCATATTTAGAGAGTCCCCTTGTGACTGGTTAATTCATGCCCTCTGTGGATTCAGCTTGTTCACGCTGTTGTCCAGTGGTCTGCCTGTGTTGTGGCTGCTGCGGGCAGGGCCGGCCTTAGGCCTGAAGGCGCCTTGTGCGAAAAATCTTTACAGCGCCCCCCTCCCTCTTCATACCCCTTTATCCATGTACAGTGTATGTCAATAGGTGTGTAGTGTTTGTATATAGGATTTATTCATTTAATAATTATTCAAAAACAAAAATGATTCCCCCTTCCCTGTTATTACCTTGCAGGGAGATGGGCATGCTGAACTCTGGTGATCCAGTATGCTGGGAATCTGGTCGGCGCCTCCACCGGGTGCAAAACCATAAGTAACTGTCTTGTGAGCTCAGGCACTTAGTGTCAGAGCTTTCCTGTAGTAATCCGTGGCAACGTTCTGATTGGCTGGAGCTCGGAGGACAGCTACATATTGCATTTTGTATGAGAGAGCTCTGCTGTAATAAATCTCATAATAATATGATGTAGTGTGTGGTGTCTGTTTGTGATAGGAGTGATGGCTGTGTGTGATATGAATGCTATGTGTTGCTGTGTGTAATATTTGTAATTGTTGTATTGACTGTGTGTGACATATGTGTGTATTGGATGTGTGATATGTGTGCTGATATGAAGAGCAGAGGTCGTGTACTGGTAGGTGGGGAGCAGGAGGAATAGTGGAGGAGGGTGGGGGAGCAGCGGTAGTATAGTGGTAGGTGGGGGAGCAGGGGGCACAGTGGTGGTAGGTGGGGGAGCAGGGGGCACAGTGGTTGTAGCTGGGGGCACAGTGGTGGTAGCTGGTGGAGCAGGGGGTACAGTGGTGGTAGGTTGGGGAGCAGGGGCACAGTAGTGGTAGGTGGGGGAGCATAGGTAGTGTAGTGGTAGGTGGGGAGCAGGGGGAGCAGGGGGCACAGTGGGTAGCTGGGAAAGCAAGGACACAGTGGTAGCTGGGGGACAGTGGTGGTAGCTGGTGGAGCAGGGGGTACAGTGGTGGTAGGTGGGGGACCAGGTGGCACAGTGGTGGTAGGTGGAGGAGCAAGGGTAGTGTATTAG